ATAGATAGATAGATAGATAGATAGATAGATAGATAGATAGATAGATAGATAGATAGATAGATGATAGATAGATAGATAGAAGCTTATCTTAGTGTGTTGTATTAATCTTGTATGTTTTTCGTTTTTTTCTTTTTGATTTTCTGTGGTTTTATGATGAATTTCATATTATATGAAAATGACATTCCTTGAAACTGACACTTAATTCCATCTAGATAGGTTCCACTTCATAATGATACTTCAAATTGGTTTGTGTGTTCACCATATTATGTAGTTTCTCTGCATTGTGTAGTACTTAATGAAGTGTTCTTCATCTTTCTTTTGTCCTTCGTGAGAAGCTATACCAAGTAAATGTCTGAATGTAGATCAAGGTCCCGAGGAGTCAGCTGATGGCACCTCAAGCACAGTGAACAGTGCAGGCCATCAGAGCACCGGGCAAATGAAAAAGAATTCAAGAAATTACAGAGATGATGCAAGACAAGGTGAGAGGTCCTTGTAACAGATAGACCCTTAAGGTCGAGCATGGCTATGATGAGTGCTGTAGCACTCCCATTAAACAGATAATACAGGATAAAATCTAATCTTATCGCCACCCTCCTCCTGACAATACCATGTTAGCATCTGCCCTCCCAGTTCCATTGTAAGTACAGAGTTCATTTAATTAATGGGCCATTACATAAAAGTCAGAAGGAATCAACCAGCATTATTGTAGCATTGGCGGAATCTGTCAGGCAGTCTGATGTGTTGGGCCAGTGCCAGTCCTGTAATTAATGAAAATAGCTTTGTGTAGTCACCATCTATTGTGTTGTCATTGTTGTTGTAAAGTAACGTCACCTAAAGTGTTTAACTTTAAGTCTTGTAAGTAGTGGTGTTCACCACAACTACCCACACCATGCACGGTGGGCCCACGCACACCACTACTATGTGTGTGTCAGATGTTAGAGTGAATAGTACGGGTGCAGTAACTTGTGGCTGATTTATACGGCCTCCTGCCTTATCGCTACACGATACGACGCCATGGCCAATCTGTACGCAGTGCTGGGGAAGTTACTCACAAAAGTAATCCATTAAAAACAGAGGTGGAAAGTTCAGGTCCTGTTTTAACCAACCAAACGAGTATTCCATGGCTGTGACTCTTTGTTCTCAATGGTCTCAGTCCGGCTTGGTCTGAGTGGCTCTTTGTTAACTTCTTCCAGAACAGCACATAACACACATGTGGCTGCTGCATTGAATCCACCTGGGCAACTGCCATGCACATCAGGTCGCACTTAATTGATACTATGACATCTAAGTCATCAAGGAGAAGATGTTTTATAAAGTTTTCTATCAGAAGTGTCTATGAAAACCGCATATCTCGCACCCCTTGTTTGGAAGAGCGTCAACTAGGGCTGCACGATTCTGGGTAAAATATGAATCATGATTTTCTTTTTCTTCAGTTTTTTTCCACAATTCTTAAGCTCTCCACTGCCACGCCTCCTCATCCGGTCACATTCACCAGAGTACTGACAGCTGTCCAATCACTGAGCATTACTCTGCCCGGTTTTTCCCTGACTGCTTGATTTCCCTCTTGTGTGGTTACATGCAATTGTATGTCCTGATACCCAGCCCAATGAGAGTGTGTCCCCATCCCCTTCTGAGTGGTTGTGCTTGTTCCGATATCCCCACTTCTGCACAAAAGCCTGCCGCTCCCTTTACTCTTCAGGATCCAGCTTTTCAACCGTAGCATCTGCCCCCAGCTATCGTTGGTTTAGATTCTTGTTTAGAGTTTTGGCTACCTGTTTGTTCTGCATTTGGGTCCCTGCTTCTGATCTTCCCCTTGGCATAAAAACACATTAAGTTTCACTGCTGCCAACCGTGTATATACAGTGCTCACAGAAAGTCTTGAGATGCTTGCTTAATTCTGTAGTAATGTTTCTAATTCATTGGTTGTATAACGAAAGTCCATTGACAAGCAGTGTTTAACATATCTGTACATATCTTCTGCACAGACATTATTTTTTTATTAAGTGTCATTTTTTTTGACTGACTCATTCAGTTCTGTTCTTGCCATTTTGGTATTAATTGCAATTGTATCCACTGGCTGCCAAATTAATACTAAATACAAATGTTTGGTGTTTTATGTTATGGCAAAGGTGTTACTAATTAAAAAGCAGCCAATGAGACTGCCTGTCAATTTTTTAACTCAGAACAGCTGTTTTAGAATAATAATTTGAGTTTCAATTTATTACTACTTGAAACGACTGTTTTACTTAAAACTACTGGTTATTTTTAATGTGATATACATTTTTTGTAAACAAATAACGGTTTTTGTTACACAACCAATACATTTGCGTATTTTTATTTAATTAAAATGAAATAGTAAATCAAAATGCTAGTTTGATAAAATAACGCAAGTTTGGTATTGGTAAATTATTAGACATCTTTGCTGAATTCTTAAATGCTCAGAATACCCTGTAATATCACAATGTAACGCTTCATCAACCCAAAATTTTATAATTTCATAATTGTTTTAACATAATTGTTTTAACAGTTATTGAATTTTGAGGAATGGAAGAACATATCATTTAATTTAAATTATTGATCCCCATGGGTAAATTTTCTTTATGCTTGCTCCAACTTTGCTCTTTGTAAGTGAGAGCAAGCTGGCTACAAAGAGGGGCCACCCAGGAAGCTGGACCACTGAACATTTATATTGGTTTATAACTTGTATTTCCAAAAGAAAGATCTTTGTATATTCCTGTATTTGCTACATGTTCCAAGATACAGCAGTATTGTTAAAATAATAAGGGAAAACTTCCAAGAAATCCATAGAAATGTGATGCTTGAAAACTTCTCAATGTGGTTAATTAAAAGTTTTACTGTGTTTTAAAGACGAAATGTAGTTATAGTAATAGTTTTTTCTTCTTTTCAGACAGCTGGAGTTTTCCTTTCAATTTGAAGGACTTTGATGGATTCGATTTGGATCCAGAATCTCAGGTCCATCAACGATCCCCTGGCGCCTTGCTTTCCTGGGAGGGTGATGAAAAAGATGAGATGGTTGAGCCTCAGCTAACTCTGAAAGAAGATTTCAACTTCTCATCACGTCCTCGCTATGCAAGGCGATTTCAAGGTCACACATCCACCCCTGAGGTCACTGTGTCTTCCCCTGACTGGAGGGGCAACTGGCATGGAGCCGATAGAGGGCCAAGGATGGAAGATGATTTCATTGGCAGTGAAAGTGATGAGGTTGGCAACTTCTAGTCAAATTTTGGAATTTTATGCCTTATACTATTACATTTTCTGATGCTTTAAAAGAATTTCTCTCAACCCTTTGCAATACAAAGGAGCATGTTCTAAAGAAATTTCATAAACATTCATTTTTCCTCAATCCTAACCCTAGAGTAGTAGTAGTTTGTAGTTCGGACAGTTTTGTAAGGATCACCAAATTATTCTTCTATAGAGTTTGAAAAAGAACTAACTATTTTGGAATTGATGCAACCATTTAAAAATCTACCTATTGTAAATGTTAGTTGCCAATTTTCCATTTTCTGCTCATGCACAACCCAGTGCACCCAAAAACTTCAACTTATTTTTGCCAGCCTATAAGGCTCAGAGGGTAACACTGTGGCCTCACAACTAGGCCTGTTGGTTTGATTTCTGTACTGGCCTAGTGAGACTGAAGTTGTCGTGTTCTTCTTGTGTTGAATGGATTTCCTTCAGGTGCTGTGGTTTCTTCCTCCAGTCCAGATACATATGGTTTCTGGATTGGCAACTATGAATTGCTCACAGTGTGTAACTGTGTGTTAGTGTATGACATGTAATAAATAGATTGGTATCCTATCCAGGGTATCTGCATTATAGTATTTACATATTACAGTACTGTATATAAAACAAGACATAAGGAGTACCAAGTTAAATTGAAAATTCTCTTTAAATCTTGGTTCTTTTTAAATAGCCTCTTTTTGCACTGATAATAGCTTCCCAAGCACAAGGTATTCATGTAAGAAATTTCAGCAGGAAAACATTAAATACATCTGTCCAGATCTTGTGCTGTAATTCTCTGATATTTAACGTGTTTGTGAGGTGCTTTTCTTTAACTCCTCTTTCCAGTTTTTCTCAGCCCATTTAATGTTATTATATCTTACTGCAGCAGGTTGTCTCTGTCAGGCCTCATATATTGGGTATTGGAATATAAACTGTTTTAACATCATGAAATATATCTCAGTTGTTGATGTAATTTCTGGGTCTTCTGTGTATTCCTTCCATTTCCATCTCTACTTTATCATTGTTCTACCAGTAATTTTGGATTATTGCCGCCTTAAGGCTGAAATTTTGTTGTAATCTTATACTCTTGTTCTTTCATGCTTATTTCCTTCTTTGGCTTTGCAGATGTTGTCATATTATACATTCTCTTTCTTTGTAGCTTTCTGGAATTTGTGATTCATGATATTAAAGTCTATTCTTCCCAGTTTTCACTGTACCCTCTCTCATCCACTTTGATTTTCTTTGGCTCTTTCATTGTTACCAGTGTTCCTCTTGGATGGCTTTGAACTATGTCGACAGTTCCTCTGGATCTCTATCAAACAGGTCCAGCGATTCAAATCGGTTTTCTTCTTTATTGTGAAGATAACAGGTATATTGTGCAATTAATTTCAAGGAAATTGGATCATCTTCCTTCTCAACCTCACTTGGAGCTTACCCAAATGTAGTTCACGATCCTTCCTGCAGTCTGTGTCTTAGTTATTTTAATTGAGCTCATCCATCATTTGGCACTGAGTATTTAGTTTGATTCTTGTGAACTCCATCTGGTAATATACATGCATGAAGGCACTTTGGTTGCTTGAAGAATTTATTGGCAGTGAAGATGTTGTTGGATTTGGAGATTTGGAGAACCTGACTAGTGACCATGCAGTTTAATTTCTGCTTCCTAGTTCATATTAGTCAACTTCATTTTCCCATTTTCCATTTTGTCATTTCTAGCTTTGATAGTCCGGTCTACACTATTGTATGTTTTGTTTGCATGTCCTGTCTGTTTCAGCCTGAACCTGGTCATAAAACTTTTCAAATTCTTCTTCATCAGTTGTTGCAGCAAAAGCCTGGGCAATTTTCATACTGAAAGGGTGCCCATGAAAAAAATCTAATATTGGTGGAATTTAACAGCTTTTTTTGCAGTTACAGTCCTTCCAATTTCCGTATTGACTATGAAAACCACAACATATCTTCTTTCTTGTCTAGTACTAAATTATATGTTTGCCTGACTCCATTTAAGTTTACTGGTGCTGAAGATGTTGACTTGTATGGGATCCTTTTCATCTTTACAACATAAAGCTTTTTTTGATTCATTCTGAATATGTTCCATATTTTCTTTTCAGACTTGGCACATTGGTAGTTAGCCATCCCAAAGACTTTTATTCCACAGCATCCTACCAGCCATACTCCAAAGAATCCTTAGCTCCTCCACAGTAGCATGTTGAGTGCCTCCTTCCTTACTTTGTTTTTATGTTTTCACATGGTTTTTTGGTAATATGCAGATGTTCAATTTCTTTCTTCCACACAATTGGAAATAGTATTTTTCCCACATTTCCACTGTGATCATCCACTTCCAAATCAGTCCTATATTCCTGCTGCTTAAGATATGTGGTAGATTACACCAGCAACTCTGCTATTACATTTTTTCCATGGGTGACTATGACAAGTTAGTCTAAGTCTAGCAACATAGCTCTTACTTTCGTTGATGCATGCACTTTTTGTTTATGCATTACTAATCTGTTATTTATCTGTATTACATTCTATATCCCTAATAGATCCCTAACATTATATAAAGTGCTCATAGGTTTACATACCCTGGCAGAATTTATAAAATGCATTTTTAAGAAAACATGAGTGATCAGACCAAACACATTTCTAATGGGATTCCAGTTAAGCTATAAACTATAGAATAGTACAATCATTAAACAAACCACAGCAATAAAGGAAGTAATAGGATGGTCCAGTTCAAAAGTTTGCATACCATTATTTCTTAATACTGTGTATTGCCCCCTTTATCACGAGTAATGTCTTGCGGTCTTTTGTGACAGTTGTGAATGAAGCCCTTTATTTTCTCAGGTAAAGCTGGCCATTCTTCTCAGCAAAAAGCCTCCATTTCTCAAAAATTCTTGGGTTGTCTTACATGAATGAGAAATTTACGATCTCCCCAAAGTGGCTCAATGATGTTGAGTTTAGGGGACTGTGGTGACCACCTCAGAACCTTCACTTTTTTCTGCTACAGCCACTGAAGGGTTGACTTTGTCTTGTTTCAAACCATTGTCCTTTTGAAAAGTGTGTCCCATGTGCAACTTCTGGTCTGATAAATGCAAATATTCCTCCAGTATTTTCTGATATCATTCTGCATTCATCTTGCTCTCAGTTTTGCTTTGTGGTAGGGATGGTATGCTTCTCTTCATGGGCCTTGCTGAGTGCTCTCCAAAAATGGAGTTTATGGTTGTCACCATCAAGTTCAATTTTGGTCTCATCTCTGCTTAGACTGCTGTGCCTGCGACCTGACCCCAGATAAGTGTCAGACAATAGATGGATGGATGACACTACAAATGATTTTGTTCCAGTAGTTTTGAGGTCTCTCTAGTTGCTCTTTATCATATTAGCAGCAGCCTGTTTTACGGTGTTGGTGCAACAGCAGCATTTTTCTGGCAACTTCACCATGCAGCCCGTTTTTGTTCTAGCATCTTCTTATTGTGCATGCTGAAAAAGCCCACCACTTTGTTTCAGCCTGTATTTCAGTTGAAGTTGCTTATGGGTTTTTCTTTGCATCCTGAAATTTCCCTGATGGTTTTGTCTGAAATCTTTCTTGATCTGATTTTCCATTTCTTGACCAGAGTTTGAACAGTACTTACTGGATTTTTTCTAATCTTTTTATATCCTTTTTTCTGATTTATAAGGTTGAACTATTCTTACCCAGTAAAATCAGTCGAGCCCTGGATTAAGTGGGCAATGGTTCTCAAGAGCTAATAAACTGATTGATGATTTATACACAGACACTAATTACAATCAAACAAGATACAAGTGTGGACACCCACCCTTCTCTCACCTTGTGTGTGTCAACGTTTGTGTATATTTTGCACATTCAAGGGTATTAACTTCTCATCAGGGCAATCTGTATATTTAATTATGATTTAAAAAGGACACACATAATTCTGTCGTGATAAATAGCTTCACATGACCACCATTCCTAAACAAAAGAATACAATCACTCAATTTTTCCAAAAATAGCAAACATTTTACAAATTCTGCCAGGGGTATGTAAACTTATGAGCAGGACGGTATAATAGATCCCTAAATAATGTATTGTTTAGGCAAACATAGAACCATTAATGGTTACTTAGTGAGCTGTGATTTCTTCCTGTTTCTCTGCTATGTGTCTTATTTTATCCCTGTAGTAGAATTATGGATTATCTTGTCAGTCATGGCAGGACCGTACATTTCATTGCTGGCTTCAATGCATTCCTCTACTTCTTTAAATCATTCACAATTTTTAATTGCTAATTACTTTTTGTGACTTCAGTGTTATGCAGTACTTTAAACAATTCCCTTGAGTATTATGGTATTTAATTGCAATAGAACCTATTTCCTTATTAATTATTATTATTATTATTATTATTAGTATTATTATCATCATCATCATTATCATTACTATTTTGAATATTCTAAAAACTTTTCATGCATGTGAATTTTGCCAGTGTGCCAGCAGCTGCTGGTGGATAAAAACAATTGAAGAGGTAAGAAGATACATTTTACAATATTACAATAGTGATTTTGTCCAAAAAAGAGGAAAATTGGTTTTTAAATGGCAATAAAATTTTAGTAGCAGGTACAATGGACCAGCCACCTGTGCAATTCAGAAATAATGGTCACTCTGACAGCCGGTGAGGAGATATTTTTAAGCTAGTCTTGTTGGCTTGGCTATAGGCTATCTTGTCGAAGCAAACAGTACAGCTTCCTTTAAAAGCAGAATGCCACACATCAGCAGAGCATGAAGGTAGTATGAATCTGCATTAGTGCTTGAAGTCAGTGCTGTGTACTTGTGTATTGCACAGCAGTAGAACTTTGATATCACAATTTGCCAAGAACAACAAAGCATCTGTCAGGAACAACTTCTGATGACCAACCCTTACCATAACCCAGCAGGAGTAGTACCTGCTAGATTAATATTTTTCAGTTGTTTTTTCCTACTGTGCAACTTCAAGCTTCTCTAGTGTTAACTCTTGGGGGAAATCATTTTCATTTTTTGCTGTACACATGTTATGCTACAGTTAATTAGGCTGGTTTGATTGATTCCTGTGGCACATCATTTGGATTTCAGCAGTTTCCTTCATCAGGAAGAATGCACTTCTTTCCCCTCTGGGGTTTTATCTGGTCTTTTTAAATTGTATCCCATAATGTTTTCTTTCTTCCAGACAATAATCTTAGTTTAATTATATGGGACAAGGCAGAAATTTTCAAATGTAATATATGTCATTTACGAATGGAAAAATACTGCAAGCTAAAACACATCTAATGCGAAATTCAAATATTCTGGTTTTTTTTTCCAGTGGAGACCGTAGGTTTGTGATATAACCATAATTATTGGCATACTTTGAAATACACCAAATAGCTATGTACTTAGTTATATAAAGTATTTTATTATATTGTTTGAGATGGAACAAAGAAACCTAGGCGTCTACTCTCCCATCAAACATTTAAGTTACTAAAGCACTTAAAAAATGACACCCGTTTGAGCTGCACGTATTCTTCCTTCAACGCGGTCACACCCCCCGCACTTAACCCAGGAAAGAAGGTGTGGCTGTGCGAGAAGTATAATTAATTCATCAAGCAAGCAAAGGGGGTCATTCCCTGAATGATTTAGGTAACAAGCCAAATGTGGGACTGTTTCATTTGCATTTTGAAACCAGTTGAAATCCACAGAGACCCTTCTGAAAATGTTATATATATATATATAATACATATATATAGACCTATATATATATAGGTCATTCATGAAATTCCTTCAACAAAAGAGAAAAATACAGTGTTTCAATTTTGTGCAGTTCACATTACCTTAATATATCCAATAAGTTAAAATTATGTAATTTATGGCTCTGATTTAATGATCCCTCAACCATTTTCCCCAAATAGGTTGCAGTTGCAGTTTTAAGATAAAACAAAAAAAACTAGACAAAATGTTTTTAAATCTTTCAGTTTTACTGTACGTGACTGACAATAGACAGTCAATTAGTATAGTAAGATGTACGTTCATTTCTTCAATCGTTTTGTTTTCTCAATTGTGTTAGGTTGAATAACTCACAAAGTGTCTGTTTTAACACATTCCTCTCACACTAAGCTAAAGGCCAAGCACATACACACAGGTGTGGCTGTCATTTTGGATTTAGCTCGATATTTTGAGCAGGTTGAAAACTTTTTGGTCATGAAAAATTTTGAAATGCTTAATACATTTACAGTAAGCTGCTTGCCTTGCATATATCATAATCTGCATTTATGATATATTCAGAATTCTCGGTCATTAGAATTATCAGTCACTCAAGTACCTTTTTGAGGTAATTCATAACTAGCATAACTTTAGTCATGCTGTTGTATCCATTTTAGAAAGCATTTATTAATATGTTTGTGGCTTTTTTATGAGTTTCTAAAATCAGTTTCAACTATTTGTCAAAGTTAGTTGGTACCTTAAGTCTAGAGCATGCTCAAACAATAAGCAGTTTCATATGTTAGACATTGTATATTTATCCAGTAGGCTGAATTTATTAGAAAAACATTTAATATGGATATATGCAACTTGTAAGAATGGTTGCCATTTTGGTTAGAATTTTGGGGAAGAATTTTCAAACTTTCAGAAGTTGATCATAAAGCCTTACTGATTTCTTTAGAATACAAGAGTCAAAATGCAATTTAAAATCAAAAATTGATACATGATCATATACATCTGTCTTTCACAGTAATGTATAGAGCACTGTGTCTGGATCACAACATGCAACAGCCTGACTGGGATCTCAGTCTATTGTAGTAAACACAATTTTGAGACACCAATTTTTGGCTTACAGGAGGAAAACAGTGTATCTGAAATAGACTCACATGACATGAAATACACATTTTATACACACAGAGAACGGGGGCCAGATTACAACTCCTGGCTCAGCAGGTGTGAGCCATTAGTAATACCCACTGAGCCACTATAGGCTATGTTATATGATTTTTTTTTTCCCTCTGACTTAGGGTGAAGCTAGCCTAACAATTCTTATTCAGAAGCCCAATTTCCAGTCCTGCTTAAATGACTCAGTTTCACAGAGTCTTGATGGGGATGACGAATGGAACATATCCCGCTTGGAAGAATCTGATAGTCAAAAGGAGCTGATACAGCCCAGCACCACAATGGCGTCCTTGAGCACTGACTCAGGATATAAGAAAGCCACCTTGGATTTGGCCCATTGGACTGATATGGTGCCAGTGCGTAGTCTCTCCCCAAGTGGAACTGGACAAGGACCCAACTCATTTGGAGCTCAAAAGGCTTGTCAGCAGCATTGGCCCAGGACCTCGTTCAGCAGGCGGTCACTCAGAGAGATTCCAAGAGGGGCTGGGAGGATGCATGTGGAACGTACAGTGAGTAACACGTGCAATGTTTCATCACAACTGAATCGCAAATGAAAGCGAAATCAGGTCTAAATACAGAAATCTTGCTTGGCATATATTTTAGTATTAAAGTAAGATGAATTGTCTGCAGGTGGTAACAGTACAAACAGAACAGCAAGACGTAATCTGAATTTTCCATGAAATCACAGTCAATTTCTAAAGATGATGGTTGTGTTTAGTTGATAGTCATGTAATCAAAATCAAGGTTTCATTTTGCATTGAGATGTATGATTTTAAACTTAACACACTATATGAGCAAATAAAGTATTTTCTGTTCCATTGTTTATTTTATAACAAACCATTAAGTCAACCATTAGACTTGTTAAGCTTTTGTAATACTTGTTATTGCATTTAGACCTTCAGAATATACACCGATCAGCCATATCATTAAAACCACATGCCTAATATGGTGTGAGCCCCCTTCGTGCCACTAAAACAGCTCTGATCCATCCAGATATGGACCACTGGGGGTCCTGTGGTATCTGACACCAAAATGTTAGTAGCAGATCCTTTAAGTCCTGCAAGATCTGGGATTGAGATCTGAGGAATTTGGAGGCCAAGTCCATACCTTGACCTCTTCTTCATGTTTTTCAAACCATTCCTAAGCACTTTTTGCAGTGCACATAATCCTACTGAAAGAGACTACCGCCATCAGGGTAAACCATTGCCGTGAAGGAGTGCAACTTGGTCTGCAACAATGTTTGGGTAGGTGGTACATGTTAAAATAGCATCCACATGAATGCCAGACCCAATGTTTCCCAACAGAACATTGCCCAAAGCATCACACTGCCTCTGTCGGCTTGACTTCTTCCTATAGTGCATCCTGGTGCCATCTCTTACCCAGACACACGTGCACCTGGCTATCCACATGATTTAACAGAATACATGACTCATCAGACCACGCCACCATATTCCAATGCTCAACTTCAAGAACTGATTATTCATTTGCCTAATATTTAATGCCACCCTTGACAGATGCCATTATAACAAGATAACCAATGATACTCACCTGTCTGTGGCTTTAATGTTATGGCCGATCGGTGTATGTAGGAATTTCTACAGAGGAACTTCGAAATATTACTGGAGCTATCAAGTCTTAGCATTAACAAGTAGCTTGTAATGTCCTGTAGTAATTTTATTGAGCATTCAGATACATGGGGAATAATGTTTCCTTTTCTGTGAAAATTCTAATGAATATTAACTTTGTGAAACATGTATTAAATCCATCTGTGTTACACGATGGGGAATCGCAGTTGGGACTGGAAAGCGTGTTTATGCAGATCTGGCATCTGGGGTAATGAGTACTCCTTCATAGCACAGATAGATGTCACTGCAGACACCCCAAAGTACACAGCATTTATTGTGAACCCCCGGCTGTGTTTACAAGCCATTTATCATCACCCAAGTAACTGTCAGCTGGGCAGCACTAAGATAAACATTTATCACAAAGTATATGTTCGACATTTTCTTGTGATTGTCAATGGGATTATTTTGTGGGGTTTAAATTCCGGAAAACATCTGTCAGAAAACATAGGAGGAAGGAAACGAAGATTAATGTTTGGTAAAATTGCTGTAATTTCATCACATTTTTAACAACTTGCCATAAAAGGGGGGAAAGCATACAATACAACTATTTTGCCAATTTGTTTTATTAACTTGGAAGTGGAACAAGTTACTCTTTTAGATCTCCAGATCTTACTGGCGGTATTTGCAAATAACCTTATAAGAATCACACAGTGTGCCAAATCAAAGTCCCCTTTTCAAATTAAAGCTCTTCTCTTCCGTTTTAAAATAGAAAGTAAAATATTTAATTACATTGCTGCTCATGGATTATATTTCAATGAAAGCCAAGTGAAAAATTGTGCTGTCATACAGTGTTTCTTCTATTAATCACAGGTACCGAAGACGTTGATGCAAATGTGTTCCAGTTAAAACTGTGGTAGTCAAGTCGTAAGGTGCAACAAAGTTATGACATGTAATCTCATCAGCATAGGTTATACAAATTATTTATGTGCATTTATCTTAATATAGTGCTGCATACATAATAAGAGTGCATAGTCTAGGCTTTCCTGATGTTGTCCAATCACATATTGAAAGTTTTAATCAGAGAGATTGCATAATTCAGTATATTAAAAAGTTATAAACAGTCACGATACATCTTTCATGCTAAACTGTCCCTACAAGCATTGAACATGTGAAAAACACAGAAACGGTATCTTCCAGCGGAGCCTAGGGTTAATATTTATGTAAGAATAATATTTCCATCTTATTATCATGGTTGATGTTATCTTCCAGTCAAGTAGATGCCCAGAAATAGATTTTTTATTTTCTCAATTTTCCTGACAAGGTAGAGAACTGTGCCATACATAGAGCACTAGAGCAGATACAACCTAAATCTTAACTTGACTATAAGATGTTTAACGTTTGCCCAGCATCCAAAGTTAAAAACATAGAAGACCACTACTTAAAGAAAAGAACACTAAAGCTGGCTTTCGTGTTGTAGAGAATTTATTATCGGGGTGATCATTTTTATGGAACTTTCTCAAAAGACAGAAAAAAAATCCAGCAGACTGTTTCCCTCTTGAAATAATTAGGAATGTGATAGAATAGAAGCTGTCAAAAACACTGTCCAGCTCACAGAAGAAGACAGTTTTGAGCTCAACTTAATCAATTCCTATTCCCAAACTGGGTCATCACTCCTATAATCCTAGTCAGGCCATAGACCTGCTCTACCCACGTCGGTTTGCTGAAAAATGTATAGACATTTCTGTCCATATGAACAAGAGCAGGCAAGTTGTATGTGTCAGGTTGGCTAAGGTCATGATTCTTAAGCAAAAATTAAGTAAAAGAAACCCAAAGGAAACTTCTAAATATGAAAACAACTAAACCATAAGGATATATTCAATGTTAGCCTGTATATGCCATGGGTGTTTTGATTAAATGGTTCCGCTCTTCAAGTAATTGATGATGCATCAAGATATGAATGATTTGATTTTTTTTCTTTTTAAATTTTTTTTTGTTTCTAAGGCAGAAGACGGAAGGGAAAATTATTCTGTAAAAAACAGCTCTGAGGTGTCCATGTTGTTTAGTCTTGGAATGCAAGAAGAGGAGGAGTTGCATATGTTAGCTAGTCTCTGCCGGCAGAAAGTGGAGGATTCACAGGAGGGAGCCAGCTGGCCTACAGGCCTCAGTGCTTCTCAGATCCACAACTGCACAGTGAGCATTAGCAGCTGCAGCGATGAAACCTCTACCTGGACGCCCCGTCTCCACATGGTGAGTCCAGTGCTGTTAGTTCCTCTTCCAGTTACCCTGAAAAGTTAGCTTTCACTTTGCTTAGATTTGTAGGACCTCACCCAGTTTAACAGACTATTTTTCATTTTGAGTTTTATATGTCACACCCAAAAAAGGTCCCCGCAAAGATCTGTGAATGCAATCAAAAAAACTAAAAATGCCAAATGACTTGTTTTTAGTTTGGTTACTGAGGGTTTGGACTTTGTAGGGGTTACGGTCGTCATGTTGGGATTAGAGTTTTCTCCACAGAAATGAATGGAGAGTCCCCTCAAAGATATAATGTCTGTGTGTGTGTGTGTGTGTGTGTGTGTGTGTGTCTGGGTGCGTATGTGTGTTCATGCACACATGTGCCCTCTGATCTTGTTCAGGGTGTTGTTTTGCCATGTGTCCTTTGGTGCCTGGTATACACTACAGACCACCCTATGACCTTGTACTGGATAAGCAATTAAAAACAGATGAATGTGTGTAACTTTCAATGACATTGAAAAGCATGATCACAGTTGTCCGTTTGTCTTAATGTTTCAAATGTTAGCCTATTTCATTTTTTCGCAGCAGCTGCACTTTATAACAACATTTTCAATCATTTATCCCAGTCCTTTTTATATTTACCTATAAACAACTTTCACATCTTACTTTCACCTCATAGGTATTTTTTATGTCCCCTCTAAGATTTCGTCTCACGGGGTATTTCTCCTTGTACCTGATTACGAGTCCCTGGCTGACGCAGTAAAAAAAAAAAAAAAAAAACCATGTTCCTCAGGCTACTACTGTACATTTTTAATCAGTGAAGCAACATATAAAATTAATTAAATGTATGAATTTGTTCACAAATTCGAGAAGCTTTACCGATTTGATGTATCAGCCCATGACTATGATTATGTTCAATAGTGCGAGATGAAAGGACCTGAATACCATCACGATCAGCCGCGGCAGCTTTACCAGCAGAAAACAAAAAGTAAATAAATAATGGCATTGATTTTGTAATGTGTTGAATGAATGGAAGAGATAAAATAGTTAAAATATTAGCCATCAGTTATATTTAATACATAAATTGGACATACATTATACAGCATTACATGTGTGCTGACTGAAACAAACAAATTTCCCTGCCAGAGGAGTCATTCAAAAGAGTACAATGCAGCAACAGTGCCACCATTAGACAGCAGGAAACTACCTCAGAACGACCCCTTTGTCTATGTCTCCTGTCACTGTGGGTGCTTTGTTTTTTTCTTTTGCAGATTTGCCCATAGCATATTCTGATTGAAGCTTTTTCCATTACATACGCATTAAGCATTTGAACAGTGTATATGTTCAATCAGATGGAAAGGCAAAAACATATTGAGAAAGTTTGTGTCAGGGTAACTGACACAAATTACATTGATATATTCATACATTTAGGTAACCATTTCCTTCCTTCTTACCATGTATCAATTGATCTAAAATTCACTGTACTATTGAATGTTTTGGATACATTTTATTTCTTTCATTGTTATTGTAGAAATGAAGGTTATTAAATATAATCACAGCGTCATGGTAAGTACAAAGATGAAGGACACATATGAAGTGAGTGTTAAAAGGAGCCTTAACTGCTGTTCTCTATGGAAGGTAAAATAGTCTGTCTTTCTTGTTTGCAGCCAGCTAATCAGGGACATCATTACCAAACAGAAATTCATCCTCTTCTTCATTCCAATCCACGGTAAGAAGCAGGTTTGCGTATATGTTGGCTTGTTTGTTTTTTTTTCCTTATTGTATCTTCGAAGATACAGTGCTCACATGGCTACCATAAATTTTTATTATGATACTGGTCAAAAAATTAGTGTAGGAAAATAACTGCAAAAAATATGCTAAATACGATTTTAAAATAACATTAAGGGGGAAAACAGTACATAATAAAACACTAAGTTTAATAATAATAATGAACACTTTATTAATCCCTGTGGGGAAATTCTTTACGCCTCCCTTTATTGGGGAGTTTTGTAAATGCAAATAATACAAATCAATGAATAAAAATAGAATTTAGATAAATGCTGGACTGATTTATTTACATGGTGAGTTACTTCTGCTCATAATATCAGTGAAACAGAAAAGATGAAATGTGCTTATCCGCTGGAACATGGAAATACAGGGCTTGCAGTTATTGTTTCATCAATTATTTAAGCTATGAACAGACAATTTTGTTTTGGATAAGTGCTTTGAGTACAAAGTACATAGTTCTGTCTTAGTGATGAGCCCTCTGCCCTATCTGGTCAGCTAAACTGCATTGTGTGTTTTAGGTAAATTAGAATCCCAAAATAATTATATCCAGGTCCTGGCAAACCACGCTGTCTCCTTTTCACTGAGCCCTGGGACCACTGGTTCCCCCACTCACAGTGACAAATGGATCCCAGGAGAACAGGACATCTGAACCTGTAATAGCAGCATTTTTTCTTCCAACAAAAATGATTGCCATGGTTGAAGAATGAGTTTTTAAACCCATGGTCAGTTTTCCTGGGCTATTTATGAAAAGAGTTATCTGAACATACAGAATGTTCTGGCTCAATCTTTTATTTAAAAAAAAGTACATATCAGGTACTGAATGCACAGCATTATAAGGTGTGTTCTCTACATCTGACCAAGCAAAAATCAGACAGTGGTCACAGTAGGTGTGCCTGTACAGAGGGTATCACCAGCATGGACAAAGGATGTTGACAGCACTACACTAACCCCTTTAACTCAAATGTCAGTCTCTTCCTTGTTAGCCTGCTTCTGATTATTTTTACCATGCTGTGATTGACCTGGTTTTCAAAATGTATTTTATGCTGAATGGAGAAAGGAACAGAGAATTTTGCATTTAGGACCAGGCAGGAAAATAGTTTCTCCATATATTTGTTTTTATTATGTCTGCAAATAAAACAACGACGACAAAGTATTTGATAATGTTTTGCAGCTGATGTGAGCATATGCCCAGTACCATCATTCTAATACCTTAACTGGAGAACTTAGTTAAGCTTCTCAATTAATATCATATAACCTCACCAACCTCAATGTCAAAAGACAGAGGCGTGATACAATTTGCATATATGCCATTATTCGTTTTTCGTTATGCCTACGGCATTTGTTTCTTTAACTTTAGACATCAGGTAACAACCAGAAATGACATCAGGTAAATACTGCTTCCTCGAAAATATACTGTATTTCACCTAACAAATTGAAAATGAAGTGGGGCCTGTGTGTGTGTGTGTGTGTGTGTGTGTGTGTGTGTGCGTGTGTGCATGTGTGTGTGCGCGTGCGTGTATGTGTGTGCATGTGTGCGAGCGGGTTTACCTATCCTTATGGGGACATAATGTCCCCATAATGTGATAAATATCTGTTTTTTTCCCTTATGGGGACCAGTTTCCTGGTCCCCATAAGGGAAAACTCTATTTTATAAAAATCGGTGACTGCTATGAAAAAACTAAAAATGCTAAAATTCTTGTATTTTGTTAGATTACTTATGGTTATGGTTAGGGCAGGGTAAGGGTTAAGGTTGTCATAGTTAGCGTTAGCATTTTTCCCATTGAAATGAATGAGCGGTCCCCATAAGGATATGTTTACCCTACAGATGCGTGTGTGTGTGTGTTCTCACCAGCACTTGATTGGTTGTATTCATTACCAGTTTTTTTTATCTTCTATATGTGCAGGCTCCTCTATATGAATTTATAAAATAAATTCTGAAACCTACATAAACAGTGAAATTGAACTACATGTTCCCTCCATAATGCAAGAATATGACATATTATAGAAGAAAATGTAAGAAATTAAAATTAAATAAATATTTATATTGTTGGTTTATGGCAAGTTAGGATGCAGAGAACTTCTACAATTTGCATAATACATTTTTTATATTTTGTTAAACTGCTAACTTCTTTGTATTTTATAAACAGGTGGGATCGACACTAAAGGGACCTTGCTCAATGGGATTGTAAAATGGGAATATTTTTCTGCTAAAATTAAATACATTTTTGTGTTTGTCTTCCCCTTGTTAATTGGTGTGAGGTTATTTGCATAGCTCGTGTTATTTATTTATTTTGTAATTTCTCTGTGGCATGCCCAATTACAGCATGAGAAGTTTCTTTTATATTTTAAGACCGACAGGTTCAAAATGGTCCACATTAGGTATTAATTTGACGTTTTTCATATTAATTTGATGCCAGGTATCAATAGTTGTGCTTTGAAGAGAGAAAACTATTTGTGAGCTATTTGTGAGTTATATTTCATTCTGCTGAAATGTTCTGATTCTTGTTGTGTGATCATTTTCAGAAAGGCTCTCTGGGGCCACCATCTGGTCAGTTTTAAATTAACTATCATGCAGGTGCCGCTATAGCAAGAGTGATGGAATTAACACTAAGTAAATGACTTGTATAAACTGTTTTAAATTCTCAAAACATGTATTGAATAATATGGTCTCAGGCAGTCTATTCTGAGCAAGGATATTTATCTGCCATAAAGGTAAAGCTTAATTTAAATTAAAGACGTGAATCGTGGAATTGCTTATGAAGGAAAACGCACTGTTTTTCTTCATGAAAGAATCATCATACGGTTCATTACTAGATTAACTAGTGTGTCAAATGTACCAAGGCAATAAAATCGCAGTTAGTTCTATTGTGTGTTCTTACCGGTCCATGCATTCTTAGGATTCCGCATATTGCTTGTAAAATAGAGGCAATGAGATATGCACAATGATTTTTTTAAGTACTCTAGATATGCCTATAGCAGTTTGGGGAATGACATTCGGGTGACCAAAATTATTTTCATATATCTTCTGTCTCTCATACTTAGCTGAATGTATGAATTTTCTGTTTTCTGTTTTTTATTGGTGCAATTTTTGCGGGATCTATTTAGATGCTAGTCGTTAAAATCATAACACATCAGTTTTGGTAGAGAATCTAGTAATTGCCGCAGGTATCTTTCAAAGTTAAAAGACAAACATGTGTTTCCAGTTGCCTCTCAGTTGACTTTGTAGACATTGAAATGTCTAAACAAATGCAAACCAAAAGCAGTTGTTCTTTTTATAAATCTTCAAATATTTGCTCCACAGTATGTGGAACAGAATTATGGGAAACATCAATGAAAGAAATGGGACTTTGGGGAGAAGATTTCAAGCAAAAGAGACAGGGATGGAAGAAAGCAAAAGATGGCTGTTGTGGCATCAGTAGGAGAAACACAAAATGAAATGGACATTGGGTCCCAGTGGAATCAGGCGATAGGCATTTACTGGTATTTACATAAAACTCATTGATTTATAATGACTGGGTGGACTTGTCACCTGACTTCAACCCATCACAGAAAGTCGACAGTACTGCTCCATTTTGGAAAGTCACAGGATGCTGCTTTCATCAGTGGCCCTTCTATCCATTTCCTGGATCACAGAAAGAGTGCAAATTTACATTCTCTCTGAATATGAAGGCATGAGAGAAAAATACATTTATTTTAGATTTCAAGCTGGATTAAAAATTTGTTTAGCATTTTTGCACAGTTATTCTTTTGCACATTATTATTATTATTATTATTATTATTATTATTACTACTACTACTACTACTACTACTACTACTACTACTAGATCAAGACTTTATTACATTTCCTACCATTTTCATCTAACCACCCATAAATAATTATATCCATCAAACTCCTTTTTGGGACAGGGAGAAACATTAAACTTAAGTAAGGTAAGATTTATATCCTAACATTCCCCTAGTCATTTTCTGCTTCAGAGGAGAGGTGTTGCAATAAGCCAAGTTGAGAATAATTATGGCCGCAGCAATTAATCCTTATTAGAGTCCAAGGCCAGCAGACTTGTGATCAAAATTACATAACCATTTTCATCTGTTTTCAGTGTAAGAATACAAAGGTAGAAAAACCTCATTTTAAAACTGCTATTAGCCAGTAACTGTTTACTTCAGGCCCATCTCCACAAAGGGGAGTCAACCAATCATGGGCATGGCCTAAGACTCAGCCAATCACAGACTTTTTCCTGATTATCATAATAGGAAGAGAGCCCCTCAGGATGGTTCCATGGTCCGCCTTACATCTTACACCTGTTATACTGACACTACGTGATGCTGATGTTGATAATGACTTTGACTGATATTTTGCAGGGAATGGTTAGGTGTTTTCAGCCCACCTATAATCCCTCCCAGTGAGCACACGAGTGGGACAGGCAACAGTGATCATCGCAGGGACATCATGAAAGGTGCACTCATTCAGAGTTGAATTAAGGCTTTTCACTTGAGATTATTTGCTATTTGTATCTCATGTCAATGCTATGACAAAAACACTGGTTCCTTTATACAGTGTTTCATGTTTGAAAAGTTCCTGCTGCCACAGCATCTGTATTTAAAGAAGAAAAACTATTTAAGTTTATTATTTATAATAAATAGATGATATTGTAGAATTACAAATGCATTAATTGAAGGTAGGTACTTGTATAATAAAGATTTCATTAAGGTTAAGCAGCAGTATGTGCATTCATTGCATAACATCGAGTTGTTATACAATTGTATAATTATTGTAGCAATCGAGATTATCTGTAATAGAAATGCCACATTTACAGTAGTAGATGCTGATTGTGTGTGACTTGGTGTTCTGCAGGCAGAGCCGTGTCAATGAGTGAAGCAGACGCGGAAGATGAGTTTCTCACTGTACTCTATGATCCCTGCTTGAATTGCTACTTTGATCCTGAGTCAGGAAAGTATTACGAGTTAGTCTGATGAAAATAAATGTCCCACTTTACAGTCTACCTTTTAAACTCATTTAAAGGCAATGTAAACGAAATAACTTAGTTACACATTAGTCAGTGAAATGTGTTATGATTTATGTATTCATTTTCTGACATTTTAAATGATTTAATGCTAAAAATGCTTGCAGATCTATTTCAAACTAGGTGTTTATTGCTTTACTAAGCATTTCAAGTGCAATTTCAATTTTATATAGAAATAACTGAATGAAATATAATGTGTTAAAAGTAATTATTTTGCATATTTAATCTTTTCATACAAATAAAAATCTGCAGGTTTAAAATCTGTGTCTTTCTTCTATATGTAAGCACACAGAGAGCTAAATGCTGTAGTGTACTTATGTTGCATAGCAGCAAACATAATGCCACATTTTATTAGTTCATTTTATTAGTTCATTTCTACATTCGTTTTTTCCTACTACACAGTTAGTCCGTGTACAACGCGTGATATCACGCCACAAAATCTGTTCTAACACGATTGATATATTAATACCCATGTCCAATAGAATGCGGAATCGCATTTGTATGTGCAATTTTCAGTTGGAGAGAAAAGCACTACAAAAAGACTGGGTCAGCACTACTTGCACGCAAAAACAGGTATCCAAGTGAACGATAACGATGTCCAAGTTTTGCACACATTGTTCTTTTGAACCGGTTCTTTTCTGTGAATCGGTTGAACCAGATTTCAAATCTAAAAAAACTGAACTCTTGGTACATTCATGCATTGCATAGGTCAAAGTCTTAGATTGTAAAAATCTAAAATGACAAATTATATAAAAACACAAAGCAACATTTTAAAATAACTCTGCATATTATGATATAATTTATGAATGTATTTTTGTTGATTTTTATTTAAAATGCATAAAATTACATTATTGGCCACTGTTGTCATTGTTTTTTATTATTTGCTTTATTTTTTTTGGCAGAAGTTACTAAGTTTTGGAGTCTCGTTCCCCTAACCTGATATTTCCCATTGGATATGTGTATTTTGGTATGCAATTTTAGCAAACGTGAGGCTTTTCAGGAGTGCGTTGGTCACGTTGTTACATGACTGATTGAACTTTTATATTGTAGTGATGGTTTGTTGATTCTCATCCACCTCTATAGTAACTATGCTGGGGCTGCTGTATTCCAAGCCGTGAAAACCTTGGCAAATCAAGGGCGATGATGCAAGCAGAAAAATTACTGCTGACCCCTCTCACCCTGGTTACCCTCTCTTCCAAAAACTTGAAGACTGTTCGGCACCAAAATATCTTCTTTCCTAGATTAGGGGAATTATTCAACCAGCCTGCATAATGCCTATATGTTTTCTGTGTTGTCTGCACTTGGGTTATACAGTATGTTGTTACTCAGTCTGTGCTTAGAGTTGTACTTATGATAAATATCTGTGCAAGATATGTATTAATATATGCAATATGTACTCACCAGATACGCAAAAAAAAAATTCTTGTACATACTAAAACTGGCCAAATAAAGTTGATTCTGATTTGATGACCTGTATGACATGTGGAGTATGTCTTAGGACAATAATATCATTGCTCCCCTTTTTGTGGTGCCCAGTCTTGATATGGAGCCCAAGCTTGCGACAGAAGTGGCAGAAGTGGGGTTAGGACAGCAAAAAATGACTTCCTCAAAAACATGTAATGATCAGCAATGAAATGTCTGGGATAATGAGGGGGACAAGCGTCACACCTACCCTACTTCCCGAGGCAGCCTGGCTGGAAAAAAGATTATGCTCCTAGGAGTATCACACTCCAAGATTACCAGAGGGAACAAGCATGACGAGCAAAGAAGTGCATTGCTATCAAGCAAGGCAATGCCATTTGCTGCAGCAACAGAGACCTGCTCAATGCGATCCTGAACATTAGCCAGAGGGAGACCCTAGAGAACTACCCTCAAATCTACCTAGTGCATGCATGCATGCATATACAGTATATGTACTGTATGTATGTATGTGTGTGTGTATATATATGCACACACATGCGCGCACACACACACACACAGACACACACACAGAGCACTGGAAAAAATTAAGAGACCACTCATTTCTCAATTTATTGGTGGGCATCAGCCTGGCTCTTCCCTGTTTCTCATTAATGAAGGGCTGCTTCTTTGTTTCATGGGACTTCAGTCCTGCTTCTAGGAGCCTGATACACACTGTCCTAGCAGTGCACTTACACCTGCACTTAATGTTTCACATCCTTTTTGAAGGTCACTTGATGTCATTGTCTGATTTATGGGAAACTGTCGGATAAGTTTACGGTCATTTCGGGCATTAGAAAGTCACTTCCACCCTTGACCTGGCTGGTCTCTGGTTGTTCCCAATGTCTCCTGCTTCACTTTGCTCTTGTGTACTGCTGTCCTTGAACCTGGAAGCAACCTGCTGCTCAGCGTAGCCTTCTGCCAGCAGATGCAGAATTGTAGTGGTTGTGTGTGTGTGTGTGTGTGTGTGTGTGTGTGTGTGTGTATATATATGCCTAATATTGTGTCGCTCCCCCTCATACTGTCAAAACAGCTCTGACCAGCTCTGACTCCACAAGACCTCAGAAGGTGTTCTGTGGTATCTTGCACCAAGACATTAGCAGCATATCCCTTAAGTCCTGCAAGTCAGTCAGTCCTGACCAAATGTCCCCACAATGTGATAAAAACCTGTTATTTACCTTTACTTGCTGGGAACATTTTTTTCAGTTCCCACAATAGGAAACTCAGTTTTATGTAAAAAAAAAAAAAACCTGTGAATTCAAAATCTAAAAATGCCAGAAGTCTTATCTTTTGTTTGATTACCTATGGGTTAGATTGAGTAAGGTTAGGGCTGGTGGGGGTTAAGGTTGCCATAATTGAGATTGTGGTTTTGTCCATACAAATAGAAATGAATGGAAAGTCCCCACAATAGAGTATAGGTACGTAATCTGTGTGTGTGTGTGTGTGTGTGTGGGGGGGGGGCTTGTATTTAATTCCCCTACAAATGCCCCTACCCTGTTACTTTTTTGGTTATCGGAGCCTTTTAATTTTCTGTTTATGGGGACTATTTTTATTTTTATTTTTATTAAAATTTCCGTATGCAATCAAAAACTACATGAAATAGCCGTTGAAATCACCGTCACCTAATGTTTATATGCATATCAGTTCCAGAAATCACATACGTGAGGTTCTTTGGGGGGGGAAACACCGGAATGTCTGCATTCCTGCGCTAAAAGAGCTCGCGGGAGGCTGTCCGGTTCAGCCAATTAGAAAGCAGCTTGTTCCGCTGTTACCGCTAAGTTACTTAGCCAAAGTAACAACTAGCGAGCATGGCGCTTGTAACTGGGCAGCATAGGTTACGACCTTCCTTCTCTTTTTTACAGTTTTTTGTATTTTTTACTACTCTTGGGGGAAGTCGTAGTTTTAACTTACTGCCTTTCGAACTGAACGACGACAAACAGTCGAAGGACTTTAATGATCCAACAATTATGTTAAGCAATGACTCTACAACTTTATCGGCCATTCAGGTGAACATCACCTAGGCGGAAATAAGCGTTATCATAGTTTCCGTAGGTGTTGATAATATACCCGATGTTGAAATTAAACTTACTTAAACTCTTGGATTAGTTTTCCAGATACACGTATAAACATTACTGCTGCTCGTTATGTACTATAAAATCAGCCAGGTGACTATTGCCAGTTAATTTTGTTTAGGTATTAAATTGTACTAGTTAATTAGCTTTAATCTTGCTCTTGAATGTTGATAAACCTTTGTTTGGGTATATGTGTTACAGATAAGTGAGGTTTAAAACGTAAGTTGGTGTACTGATCCGGTGTAGTGGTTGTTGCAAGTTAAATATATACATACTCAGTTCCTTATTTTGTCGAGTAAAAAATAAAAGCATTTAATAAATATTGTTAATAATACTTATTTTGAAACGTATGGCTAAATTGTTAGACATTTTCTTAACCGTGAAAGACTGAAATCCATTTCACAAAATAAGTGCTTGGATCCTTACACTGTACATGTGATAGGAAGGGCTGCTGTGTACTGATAGCCGGTAGAAGTAAACTAAAAGCGCTTATTGTCTGTTTTGGCATCCAGGAAAGGCTACATCCTGGAATTATAGCATCCGTGATAATTGTGTCCTTGATGGCAATTATGGCCGGAATTTTTATAATCAGAAAATATTGCTTTCAAAGCAGGTAAGTCTACGAGAAGAATGACTTTGTTATGTAAATTAAAATAACATATTTCAACAGACACTGAAGCATTACAGCATATTGAGTATGGAATCAGCGTTTGATGCTTGCACACTTTTCTTCAGGGTGCATTAGAGACAGGGTTGTCCTCACAGATATGAGGCACTTTATTTAGCAAATTTTCCACTTCTAGGTGAGATTAAAAAGGGATTTCACTGCAATAGGACATTTTTAAAAAGTCAACTAAATATGGTTATTCTCATTTTGATTTAACGCAAATGAAAGAAAAATGTCTCTGAGTTTAGTTTTCTTCATAAAATATTTTTAGACTGCAGCCTTTTTTTAACAATCATGTGAAAAACTGAAACAGAGAGAAGCACTGTAGCCATATTATGAAAGCAGTTTATTATAATTTTATTAATATAAAAGCAGTTTATATCCATTATAGATGGCTTTATTCACATTTCACAATTGTCATGTCTATTTTTTCAGTGAAGCAACATATAGATATTCACTGCTCAGGGGGATGGAGGCTCAGGTTATTTCTGAGGACCTTGAAGATGAAAACCAGGATGAGCGCCTGGACAGAGAAGAGTTTGATGAGGTGACAAAACTTTTACTGTTACTGCTCTTGCTGTATAGGGGGTCATTCCATTTTAATCTAACAAATGGCCTTTGTTCACCATTTTTGATGAAATTTGGCATGTGAATTACAATTACACACCTTCCAGAGCTCAGAATGATTTTTTTATTTAAAAACAATCCTTTGAGGTATAATGCTTTTTTACACTCCAGTGTTTTCTTATGAGTTGTACTTCTTTTACTGTTAGCTGCATGACTCAGCTGTAGCTTACTGGAGAGCTCAGAAAGCGTACTCTTTCATGATACGGTCATACGTATGAGGTTCACCTCACAAACTATTTTTTACTACATTTGGTTATTAAAAAAAACATTGAAGTGCTTTGGGTAACAAGTTAATTTTTTAAATGATAAAATACATGGAACACTCAGCCATAATATCAAAAACAATATTGTGTAGGTCCCCCTTCTGCCATCAAAACAGCTCTGATCTGTCGAGGCATGCACAACACAAGACATCTGGAGGTATCCTGATATCTGGCACCAAGACGTTAGCAGCAGATCCTTTAAGTACGGTATATTGCAAAGTGGGTCCTCCATGGATCAGGCTTGTTTGTCTAGAACATCCCATAGGTGTTTGATCCGATTGACATCTGGGGAACTTGGATGCCAAGTCAACACCTTGAACTCTTTTTGTTGTTCCTCAACTATTGCTGAACAGTTTTTGCAGTGTGGCAGGGCACATTATCCTGCTGAAAGAAGCTACTGCCATCGAGGAATACCGTTGCCATGAAGGGGTGTGCTTTGTCTTTCAGCAATGTATAGGTAGGTGGTACGTGTCAAAGTAACATCCACATGAATGCCAGGATTCAAGATTTCCCAGCAAAACATTGCCCAGAGCATCAAACTATCTCCATCAGCATGCCTTTTTCCCATAGTGCACCCTGGTGCCATCTCCTCTCCACATAAACAGTGCATATGCACCCAGCCTTCCACATAATGTAACAGAAAATGTGACTCATCAAACCAAGCCACCTTCTTTCATTGCACTATGATCCAGTTCTGACGCTCACATGCCCATTATAGGCTCTTTCAGCAGTGGACAGGGATAAGCATGGGCATTCTGTACAGTCTGCGGCTACACTGCCCCATAGACTGCACGCCGCGATGCGCTGTGTGTTCTGACACCTTTCTATTATAGCCAGCATTAACTTTTTCAGCGATTTGTGCTACAGTAGCTCTCGTGTGGGTTTGGACCAGACTGGTTAGCCTTCCTTCCCCACACACATCATTGAGCCTTGGGCCCCCATGACCTCATCGTCACTTCACTGAATGGTCTTCCTTCAACCGCTTTTGGTAGGTACTGGCCAGAGGTTGCCTAAGACTTACAGAACAAGATAATCAATTGTACAATTATAAGAGCATGGAGAGAAGACACTGACCATGCAGTCACTTTCCAACACGCAAAGCAGATGAATGATATTTTTCTTTCTATGTTCGATGGCGGGACATAGCTCGCCCCGTAACATTAGCTGCTGCTGGTTCATAGGTGTTTTCTAACTAGAGTTCAGAAACCTAGTTCCTGGTTCCGAGGCCCTGGGCCATCTCCACCAGGAACTTCTGTAGGCCCTGGCCACTTCTGTGTGTCGCTTTCCCACCACACAACAGGAATTGTGTTGTATTAAAAATTCCAGTTAAATACAATGGTTCGTAATAATGAATGCACCCACAGTTTTGTGACGTTCGAG